GAAGATGTGCAATCTATAAAAGTTTGGTACATAACATACTAAGGGCACCATGATAGTTTACCATGTGTCAATGCCACCAGAATGCTTTGGATGATTTCAGGGAACTCAGTTCAAATTCAGATCCATCCCAGATAACACAATGGGTGCAGGTGCAAACTCTTTAGATTAACTCCCTATTAATATTGCCAGAAAAAAATAATAGGAAAGCGAGTATATTTCTCAAAAAAATATTTTCAGGGAGTCTCTCAGTTGCTATGAACACATAGCACTTCCTACCCAGCTGACAAGGTCCCCCTGATGCTTAACATTTCATGCAGTCAACAAATAGCAATGACAGACCAACCTGGGCGGCAGGCGTGGGCGACTTCCCTACAGAAATGTTATCTGGCTTAATGGGATCAAAATCCAGATCCAACAGGCTGGCTCCCTCCTGGAAGGGCCCCGGGGCATCAAACTTGGCAGCATTAAGGGGGAAAAAGCAGTGCTGAGTATTAGTCAAATATAGGAAGGCACTCGAGTGTGGAAGGTGTCATCCAGGTGCTAGAGATGCAAAAGTAATGCAGAGAGTCATGTGGTACAAACAACAAAATGTTCACAAGTGCCCACAGAGTGTGTAATGTCTTCGTATAGAAAGACAGCCATGAAACAAAAAGCATCAGTACCTCACACAACTGTCATCCAGCCTAAGTTTCTTTGTTATTGTCAGACACTTCCACCACACTGCAGCCCCAGGTGAGAGATAAAATACCCTCTTCTGCTTTTAATCCTCTGTGACTTTTCTCAATGGGGATCAACTTCTCAAATCTTGCCAAAAATCCTTAGGTCAGCAACGTTTAATATGGCCATAGCACCTACACTGCAAATGGAGACACCTGGAACTACCTTGAAAAGACGAGATTTTCAGGGAAACCTTTACTTTAGTCAACAATACTGCCATAGTCAGGAATACGAAACATTCTTCTCTGCTTAGAAGTTAGCTTTTCCCACTCCTTTCTCTTTTGCTCTGCCCTGACTGCAATGCTTCCAATAGCAGAATCCTATTTCCAAACACAACATTAATGCAAGTTCTCTTAGCACTTTTCAAGGCTTGCTGTCCATCAAAGTTCTGTCTTCTCAGGCTAATTAATTGTATAATCTTAGCAATGGAAAGTATGCTTACTGGGGCTATCAACCCTTCTTTTGAGGTAGCACTAAAAATGTACCATTCATATACACATTCAAACTGAGCATAATGTCCTTATTCCCACAGAATGAGTTACAAGCCATACAGTTTGCACAGTTTGCTATTTCTGGACAAAAGTGGATTTGTTCAAAGATTTCAGCAATATTTTACTTGACCACAACAGTTCTTCTGCTCTTAGACAAGGTAACGAATTCCAACAAATTCCAACTCCCCAACAAAGACCCCTCCCACTGAGGGGGTATAAAATTGATGGTATATCCAAACAGAAGCCAGGATAGTTTTGATAGTAAAAGGTAAAGGTTTCCCTTGCTCAAAAGCTAGTTGAATCTGACTCTAGGGGGCAGTGCCAAGCCGAAGAGCTAGCACTGTCCAAAGACGTTTCCGTGGTCATGTGGCTGGCATGACTAAACACCGAGGTGCACAGAATGCTGTTACCTTCCCAGCGACGCGGTATCTATTTATCTACTTGCAATTTCTTGCTTTCGAACTGCTCGGTTGGCAGGAGCTGGGGCCAGAGATGGGAACTCACTCCATCACATGGCACCAGGGTCTCGAACTGCCAAACTACAGACCTTCCGGTCTACAGCTCAGTGTCTTAACCTCATCACACACACACACACACACCTTATTCAAAGAGAGGACCCCTCCTTTCCATACATCTGTGGTTGTCTATCAACTACACTTCATATTTAATGCAACTTTTTTCTGTCCTTCATCAGCCTCCAGTAGAATGTGCTAACAGAAGAAGCAGTTCTTTGTCTCACCATTTCCTTATCTCAAAGACGTGAAACTTAAACTATAGCCATGACTTGTCATCTAAAGAATTCTGGTGTTAAGCTTTTATTCCAGTGCGAATCTGTAGGTGCTACTACTTCTTTTTTGACTAAAAAAGGATAAAAGAAACAAAAAGATTAAAGGCAGAGGTTATAGCCATGTTGGACTCTTACCTGTCACCGGGTCACCTGCACCAGGTGTCCATGATGAGTCCTTTTGTTTGGGTTAGTTTCCCTTACCGCTCCCCCCTCCCAATGATCAGCCCTACGACATATTGAAACTTCCACAGGGAATGCATTAATGGTCAGAGGTTTTCCAGTGGTTTCTGCTCTAGGAACCAGATTCATCAGTTGGAAACCCATACTCCTTTAGATTGATGCTGTCCAGTTCAGGTGTCCCGTACTCTAGAGCGGGTTCAAAGCCGAATGCACTGTTTACACAAGTGTTTACACATAAACATACACAATACAACACGGTGTAAGAGTTGTTGAGGCATGCGGCAAGGAAAGGATAGGTGTGGACAGGGATAGAAGGCTGCTCGGTGGCCCACGGCTTTTTCGGATACAGAAGGATGCATGGGGCATAGAGTCAGAATTTGTGCACTTTGGTTCCCCTAAGAAACAGACTTCTCTACTGCTGTAAAAGCTCTTATATTCCTCTCTGCCATTTTACTAGCACATTCCCTATTACTTCAGTGGTCTCTAGGGTTGCCAAGTCTTACCTTAGTTTTAGCGGGGGAGTCCCGGGCCCCGTCCTGGAGGTCCTCGACGACCACTATCATTCGAGGGAAAACCATAGAGTTTTCCCTCGAATGCTAGAGCGCCCCCCCCCCGCAACGTGCCCAGCATGACGACGTCACCTCTGGGTGATATCATCACGCCGGGCATGTTTCCGCAATCCCGGCATTTTGGGGGGGGAGTCCCCCCAGAGGCCCAATTCGCTGAACAGCGGGTAATGGACCCATCGAGTGGGGGTTCCCCCGCCCCCCCTGGGGGACCTGGCAACCCTATTCTCTGTTAGATTTACCATGTATTGGGGGGGGGATTTGATCTTCATCTGCATATGTTTAATGTATAGGCATAAAGTCTACCTGTTGATGGCTCAGTTTTCAGTGAGGGAGTAAACCTGTGGCCCCGGATCAAAGGTGACAACTCATATGATGGCCTGCTGCTCCAGATTGCAGCTGACTGTTCAGACAAAAGAATGCTTCTCCATTCAAATACATTACATGGGCATAGCCATTCAGTATGTCAGAGAGATGCCAAGGCCCTTCTTTCTGATCTATGTGGGGGGATTTTTAAATTTGTTATTTTTATTAAGTCATTTTATTTTATCTTTCTCACTGCCCATATGACTCAAGGTGTCTTATATAGCACAGAGGAAAAAGGCATTAAAACCAACCAGAAGGAGGGTTTTTTTTTTTGTATTTGTTGATTTAATAGTTGTTACCCTGTACTTTCACCCCTAAAAGTGAGGCAATTATACTCAGATGTTAAGCAGTTATGTAAAATCAGAAATATCATGTACATCATCCAGCTCCAATATATATATATGAATTGTCACAGGAGCCAGAGTGGTGTGGTAGTTAATGAGTGGCAGACTCAAATCTGGAGAACCGGGTTGATTCCCCACTCCTCCATATGAAGCCTGCTGGGTGACCGTGGGCCAGTCACAGTTCTATTAGAACTGTCTCAGACTCACATACCTCACAAGGTGATTGTTGAGGGGAGAAAAAGGGAAGGCAATTGCAAGCTGCTTTGAGACTCCTTAAGGCAGAGAAAAGCCAACTCTTCTTTTTCTCTATATAAAAAGTCAGATTGTTCTAAAAAAAAAGCAGTCCTAGGCACACCTGGTTGCTGGGCTGGCTCAGGACATCTTGGTACTCAAATGGAAAATCCAAATGGCAACCTAGGGTTACATGGTCTGGGTTGGAAAATACCTGGAGACTTTGGGGGTGGATCCAAAAGAGGGCAGGGTGATGGCAGGGGCCTCAGCAGGGTACACGGTCATAGAGTCCACCCTCCAAAGCAGCCATTTTCTCCAGGGGAGCTGATCTCTATCAGCTGGAGATCAGTTGTAAAAGCGGGAGATCCCCAGGCCCCACCTGGAGGCTGGCAACCCTATGGCAACCCCACCTCCCATTTAGCAAAAATACAATTAAATTAAGAGCTTCTCATAACTGTCAAAAATTGCCACCTGAGGCAATATCCTCATAGCAACTCTTGATATGTCTAGTCTTCCCCCACAGAATTTGTCCCTGCAGATTTTGCTCTGTGTAGGTTTGCCAGCTGCCCAAGGGGGGGGGGGGGAATGCCCTGCCCCATTAACAGAGGCTTAATGGGATGTTATTTATCAGGTGATGTAATTTATCTCCATGCAAGGAAAAACTTCAGCTGCCCATTTCCACACAGTAAGTCTCTATTAAAGAGAGAGGACATTTTTCTCCAGGCCTGCTGGGAACCCTAGCTCTGTGGCATCTATTTTTCCCCACAGAGATCTCCTCTCAGGCATTTTTATGCATGACCCTTATGTCTTTGCAGCTGCATCCTCAAAGGTATCCTTTTAATTCTCAACAGTGTAAATATAGGACTCTGTGGATATTGATATATATTTTTTCTGCCACAGGCTGCCTATTTTCCTCCTGTAGTTCTTTCACTTCAGATACTTCTTTTCAGTCATTTCTCAGTAAAGGAGATCTTTACAGATACTGTTGTTCCTTATCACTAAAATAGAGAGATTTTAAAGAACTGTCCCATTTCCTCTACTAGAACTGGCTCCATTGTCACTACTTCCTGGTCAGACAGAAAACCATGCCTGATGCTCGTTCATACTTCTATTTAGATAAGTGCAAAATTGTTCTCTCTCACACTGGTAGTAACCAGAGCCTGGTGCTTTTAAAAGAGCTAGGTGGCAGTTTTATAGGTTTCCTTGGTGCACCCAAGAAGGAAGCCTAATCCACCAGCTCATGTTAGCTCTGTTCACACTATCCACATGAGCTTGTGAGGTGATTCCACAACCCTTGAAACCTGAGGCCTAAACTTGCCTTTTCTCCCAATTCCAGGCCCCTCGTGCAATGTTTCAGCCGTCGAACAGGAGGAAGAGGTAAAAGTCGCAGGCCACCACGCTGAGGTAAGGAAGGAAGAGTGGAATCAGGAAACAGAATGGCTAGAGGTGTCACTCAATGAATAATGAAAATAATGGTGATGAGGATGGATATGAATCATGGAAATGTTGCCAGAAAACTAGTCAGGGTGTTTTCCTTTCACCCACTCCCCCCACTGGAATTAAAGCATCCTTAGGATGAGCTAGTGATGACAATTCACATTTGCTTGTCCAGGAACTCTCTTGGGCACTAAGCTACAACAGAATCCCCCCCCCCCCCAGTCATTTCTCAAGCTTTACAAGATTAGCTTGAGTGGCCATAGGATGCTGAATTGCTGAGGAATGCTAGTTACTTTTAGAAGAGACTTCAGACATAGGCTACTGGGACAGAAGTCTGTCTGGAGAATAAAGATTACAGCTCCACAGAGAGGTGCAGCATGTAAAGTCACTGACACAAACCCATCTCTCTTACAGAAATACAACTCATGTGAACAAGCTACTCCTTCCCATTTCTAAGGAGGACAGCTACACTTTTAACCCTAGAGGCTGCAAAAACCGTGCAAGTGCTTAATACAAGACAGGCCCGGTTCATATACTCAAAAATCCCAGACATGAAGCAGCCGTCTCATTAAAAGTACACGGGAGGAGGAATAAAAGAGCCAAGAAGCCTGCATCAAAGCCAAATTCCAGGGAGGCCCTGTTCCATTTCTGAAGAAAAATCATGCAGTCAAGGGACAAAGTATTTGGATTTTCTATACGTTTCCTATAAGAATACACCTCGTCCCATGTATGCACACATTTAGCTAAGGAGAGATGGGATTTGTCTTCATGGCCTTGGCCGCTGTGATGAAGATAAGAAGCAAGACAGATTGAGGTAGAACTTCTCCACACACCCTGCTTCCCTTTTCATCCGACCTCAGTCAGAGACAGACCACAGCCTGATAAAATGGAGTTAAAACCTCACTACTCTGTTTGCCTACTTCATATCCTGTCGGCTCTCTACCATCACCCGACTTCCCCACCCTGAGCAGTTTTCATGGCCTGACACCTCTGATAAGGAAGAGATAAACAATGAAGGTGAAGTGGAGTAAGGATTGGGGAAGAGAGGGCAGGGAAGAAGGAGAAGCTAACCTGTGAGGGGGTTGTCACACTGATCTCTGGGACAAAATTGTCATCAAACAGGTTGATGATGTTCTCCTGCTTCATCTCCTTGGATGGAGTGAGTTTTGGAGGTGGCGGCACGGGAGGGCCTTTCCTCAACTGCATGCAAGCGAACACACAGCGATAGCACAGACAGCAACACCCAAAAAACCAGAGACAGGAACCTGGTTAGCAAATACTAAAAAATAAAAATAAAAAAATAAAAATAAAACACACATACCAATAAAGGGTCTACAGGGAGGTAAAACACAAACAAAACAAGCATGGGAGGAGGGGAAAACAGTCACACACTTCCAAAAGAAGGCTTCGCGTCATTAGTTACACTTCAGTTGTGGGCAGGTTTCCCTTCTGCAGAGGAGAAGCGTAACACAATTAATATGCATAGGATATGTCATGCATACATAATTAGAGCCTGTGCAACCTTCTGGAGTACATGGTAGGAAGGCACACACTACAATATAAAGTGCTGAAGGACTAGGGAAGGTGGCGGATGCTACTCTTGCTAGCAATACCTATTTGGATAGAGAATGAAGACACCTAAACCAGCTCAACTGGTCCCTAAAGAAAGCATGCTCCCAGCAAGCTGAAACCCACTCTTTGATGAATACTGGGTCATCTTCACCACTTGGAATCACACCTCTGCAGACTAAACAAAAATGGAATGAGATCCAAGAGAAATCAGGACCAACTCAATCACAGCATACTTGTGCTACAACAGGGTAAAATTATGCTGGACTGGACATTCCTACCCTTTATTACATTAGGATTTTTATCATCATGTGCAAAGCTTAGAGGAGGGGGATAAGATACATGCAGGATCTCCCCCTTTCTTCCATCATCCTTCTTCATTCAGTTTTATGCCTTCAACTGAATACACTAAGAAATTTGTTAGCTGAAAGACAAGTCTCATTCTTAAGTAGAATGTCAGGGTGCGTTCAGACGGCTCTTTAGATCCACGTGAGGTACGAGTGCCTCATGGATTTAAATGTAATGTCCAGACATCAACATCTGGGAAACGTCCGTCTTCCATGAGGATCCCGTTCTGCTGCGCTTCGGAGCCGTACTAAAAAGGTAGTAGTTAAAATCTGGAGTTTTCGGTTCCGACGGGCCACTCGTGGACTTGCCCCTGTCTGATTGTTCCAATGCGCAATTAAAAAATGGGACCTGTTCGGGATGGTCTGACGTCAGACCATCCCGAACGGGCGCCATCTTTAAAAAATCTTGATTCTGCGCATGTGCGGATAAACAAGGCTGCAATATCATGCCTATGCGCATGCACAAAAAGTTTTTTTTTAAAAAAACCACTGCACGTGCCTCCTTCAGTGGACGCTATCTAGACAATCCACAGCGGAAGCAGCACGCGGTAAGGCGATTCCCCCAGGGGATGCCTGGTCATGCGAGGATGGATTTAAAAGATCGGGATCAAATTTGAGCCGGCATAATGGCGGGATTAGCTGCCCGTCTGAACGTACCCTCAGAACATAATTTATTGTAGCAATTGACCATTACTAGTCAAAACATTATGCAAAGCCCTCTTGTTACTCTTTACCCATCCTAGGAGCATCATTTCCTAGGAGAGGAGTCCCCAACATGGTGCCATAGTGCCCAGCACCTTTCCTGTTGCCCGCCAAGTGTTTTTGAAGGTGTGTGGGGCCCAATGGAGCTTTTGCTTAGCAAGGCTACTAATTGGCTGTACAGATTTTTTTTTTAAATGTTGCTTTGGCAGCAGTTGCCACCAAAGCACAAGGATCTGCACCGTGTGACTGAAGGGAAGCTGCAGCATTTAGTGGTTGGCTGTTGTGTCTCCTGTGGCAGCCTTTTTTGGTAGCTGCGCCCATCAACGTTGTGTCAGAATTCGAAAGGTGCCTGGAGGCTCAAAATGTTTGGGGACCCCTGGCCTAGGAGAACACGCCTTGTTTTTCAAAGCTGCTAAGGGACTTGAATGAGCACAAGTTAAGCTCAACGCTGAGGATTTCAATTGGCTCCATGAGGACAGCATCACATCACAATATGAAACAATACACAGATTCACACAACCTGCTGTTCAGTGCTTCCTGTAATATATTCAGCTGCCTTCAGTAGCTCTTTAGTATGTGTCTGCATTTAATACAAGAAGAGGGCACTGTAATTTCCTAAGTGTATTGACTAGTTTTGCAAAGTCCCACTTTTTCTAGTACTTGCCAAAAAGGCTTTCTATGCAAGCTTCATATCTTATTGATTATAGGATAGAAATGCTGCTGTTTTGATTTCCAATAAAGAACTGATGGAAAGGCCCAGTTCTAACTCTCTTGGGTAAAGGAGAAAACATATGAGAGGACATGGCTGTCTGCCTGCACCAGCTGTCAAAAGTGGTATTGTTTTCCTTCCTCTAACACTTAAATAGCATTTCACCCTCAACCATGCCTACTAGAGACTACAGAGTAGATGGAAACCATATCCTCTGTATAGGACAACCTTTAGGATAAATCTGATTAATAATTTTCTACTAAATTCAAAAAAGATCCAGTAGCTGTAATTTCTTCATATGCCTTTTTTGCATGCCATGCATACATTCAGAGGCCTTAAAAAACAACAACAAGAATATCACTTTTGGATCAATCCATCCTCTTTCCATGGTGTTTAATGATGTCACTCTAGAGCTCTAACAAGGAAACTAAGGTCACACCTTCAATCCTTCTAGCAGGTAGGGGATCCATTTATATGCACCCATGGCTCTTGCTATAAACAGATTATCCAGCATTTAGATAGTGCTTCAAGAAACTGTGAGGGGGAAATATTAGTTTGGCATGCTCTGTTTTAGAGTTCAAGAAGTTTCCCCACTGCTACCTGAACCTACCTGTTCATTCCAATCACCTTCAGCACACCCAATTTAGTAATCTACCCACAGGTACAAACCAGTGACCTATGCTAGAAAAATGTATTAGATGTACTCCCAAGTGATTCATTAAGCACCTCATTTGCAAATGCCTTCATCATTATCTGTTTGTAACGCATATAAATTCTCAGCGAGATTAATCTTTTCTTCCCTTTAAATGTTCTAAAAAGCCGGTTTTATGCTCTTTGTCTTATGAGTCTAATGCATAACATGACCAGGATTTCCTATGGTGGCCAGTCTAAATATGTATTAAAAGATAACCACCAGCTGATGGCAGTGTTCACCACATATTCTATTTTGTGTTTATGCATTGCCACATTGCCTTAACCAGTCCTTTTGGCTATTACAGGCCCTGTTCACAAGGAGCATTTGCCCTGCGGAAGGCACGATAGTTGGGCAGATTTTCCGGGCGCGATCACACCGGAACATCTGGGAGGCGTAGCGCACCTGTGGCCAACCCGTGGCATGCCGCTGAAGATGTGCATTTAAAAGGTACCTGCAACAACCTACTGGCAAATGGTTTGCCACGGGCTGCATATGGACTCCTGCGGTTTGATCGCGCCGGCACGCAGCTATTCCCCCGGTGTGCCGCTGTCGCGTCTGATTGCCCAATGGCGGATCAGAATGCAACGGCGCAAATAGCCACACCTCCCCCCCCCCCCCCCTGTTTCAGGCCGCGGGACCGTGCGCCCC